TGTTCACATACTGTATGTATTTAGACAAATCATTTTTTTTTTTTGGCTATGGAAAACATGCTTAGAGTGTTAAGATCTAGTATCTTTGTGGGGCTGGAGTTGAAGCTCAGTGGTAGAGAACTTGCCTAATATGTGTCAAGCACTGCATTTGATTCTCAGCACCACATACATATAAATAAATATCTATCAACAACTAAAAATATGTTTTTTTAAAAAAAACATTCACTTGGCATATATGGCTGGGCTCCTTCCCCATTATTGAAATGATGTATAGAGTGTGTTGATTGAGAAAGCACTGGAAGCAGGGACAGCGCAGATTTTACTCCACTGTCTCCCAGCATATCAGTAGAACAGGTTAGAAATAAGGTTTATTCGAAGGATGTGTAGACATTGTTTTGAGGAAACTTCTGGTTGTGTTCAACTGTCTTAGGCATTTGCTTCTATTACTGTTTTATAGAATTTCTTAAAAAGAGATCCTAGGGCTGGGGCTTTAGCTCAGTGGTAGAGCACTTGCCTAGCATGTATGAGGCACTGGGTTGGATCTTTAGCACCACATGCAAACAAATAAATAGATAGATCCTAGCTGGGTGTGGTGACACACACCTATAATCCCAGCTATTCAGGAGACTGAAGCAGGAGAATTATAAGTTTGAGGCCAGCCTCAGCAATTAAGCAAGATCCAGTCTCAAAAAATAAAAAGGACTGGGATCTAGCTCAGTAGTAAATTACCTTTGGATTCAATCCCTAGTACTCAAAAAAAAAACCTGACTCAATTCAAAACTGCTTGTCTTACTTGTTCACCTTCTGTTAAGATCCCTTCCTGATTGATAATTTATACCTACCAGAGTAAGGACATTTTTCATGCATTGGAAACATCATTTCTGAAGAATGGGATCCATATTGTAGAGAAATGTGAAGTTATTGGAAAAAAAACTCAAAGTACCTGTTTTATCAGAAAATTCATATCTTAAAGAGAGGTGTTTATGTGTGTCTAACTTTTTTCTTTTTGGGGGGTCCTGGGGATTGAACCCAGGGGCACTTACCACTGAGCCATATCCCCAACCCTTTTTATTTTTTATCTTGGGACAGGGTTTCACTAAGTTGCTGAGGGTAGCCTCAAACTTGCCATCCTTCTGCCTCAGCTTCCCAAATTGCTGGGATTACAGGCATGTGTCACGACACCAGCAGGAAACATTTTTTGTTGGAAAATATTTACCTGTTGTATATGTCACGCTGGACCATTGAAAATAAATAAGAACCTTGTATAGTGTTTAGTGTCTTAATCTTGACCTTGCTTAGCCAGTAAAATTTAAAGTAGAATTAATGGATAACTTGAATTAAATGAAGTAGAGTTTACTAAGGCAGGTACAGTAGCTTGAGAGATCAGCATAGTTCTGAGATGTTGGAAGAGGATTTGATTTGAGCCTTATTATTATTATTATTATTGTTATTATTGTTATTATTATTATTTTGTACCAGGAATTGAACTCGGGGGCACTCAAACACTGAGTCACATTGCCAGCCCTAGTTTGTATTTTATTTAGAGGCAGGGTCTCACTGAGTTGCTTAGCACCTCACTTTTGCTGAGGCTGGCTTTGAACTCCTGTCCTCCTATCTCAACCTCCTGAGCTGCTGGGATTACAGGAATGTGCTACCACGCCTGGCTTGAGGTTTTTTAAAAAACTGAACTTTGCAGGGATATCTAACCTTGCCAGACTCCCATTACAGAGTTCTGAGGCTTCACAGAACAAAACCCACAAGACTTACAGAACACCAAGAAACAGCTTTTTTCCCAGCAAGATATTATACCATATCTATACCACTTATTTAAAGAAAAAAGGAAAAGAATATGTTAGCTCCTGGGCTGTTGCTGTGAGGCAAAACAATTTTACTACTCTTTTAAAGCTACTCTTATTTGACAATCTATAAATATATCTTGCTTAAGTTGGAAAACATTTTCAGCCCTAAATGTGTTCTCTCATTGCATGTGACATTCTGTAGTTGCATATTATAAAAATGGCAGTACCAGCCAACTGCTGGCTGCATTGTTAGAAATAAAAAGAAAATAGTGTTTAAAATTTTCCTGTTTTGTTTTTAATAGTCATATTCATTT